CCCCCCCCCCCCCCCCCCCCTTTTTTTTTTGATTCCAGCAAAGTGATGCACTCTGGTGCGAGCTCTGGGATATTTCCTAATGAGAGCTATTAACAATACTGAAATGGATTTGTGCTTTTGAATGCATCCCTTTGTGTCCGAGTTTTTTTTTTCCGCAGCATGCCAGTGGGAAATTATTAGACAAATAAAATGCTTATTGGGACGCCACCGGTTTGTTTTCTGGAAAGCGGTTCCAGAGAAACAAGACAGGCACTACGTGCAGAATCCGTGTGGTTGTCTTTGTGTGGCTGAACGTATTGACTTTGGACATCCGTGAAGCACAGAGTGTATTTGAAAAGCAGTTGACACGTTTCACTGTAGCCCCGTCAGGCTGCTTGTCTTCTTGACTGCGAGCGCCTTATCCTCCGCGTGAGGCAGACATTTATTGTGGGAGAGCATCTGGAAGCCTGTCTTGTCGGAGACAGAGTGTAGCCTCCTCAGGTTGGGAGCGACTGCTCTGTGGGGTTTTTATGAGGAACCTCTCGCTGAAAGTTCTTCAGATTCATCAAAGTCTCACACAGCACGCGCACTCCATCCGAGGTACTGCAGCATGTGGCCCCTGTTTGGATCATATACCCGCCTTATTCTTTCATACACTGCGGGCTTGTGTGCAAGGTTTTGTACTCGTTTTGATGCCGGTTCCTAAGCCAAATGTCCTTTGATTCTCTCAAAGGGAATATCTGGTTTCAAGAAGAAAATGCGCCCCTAAAACACTTCAATAAAAGACAGAATTTTATATTGTTCTGTTTACCTCTGAAGCCTACAGTATAGTGGTTAACCTCGCTCTCTTAAGATGACTCGATGGAATGTGTATGATAGACAACGACAAAGATGCGGTTTGGAAACATTCAGGGAGAAATGCACCATAAAAAGAAGCAAGTATCAGTGTCTCCACCGACAGAAACATCACAAAACAGGAGGCATTGTAGAAACAGCTTGCATCTCTGCTCGTCTGTTGACGGTAGCTTGTGAAATGTAACACTGCTGAACAGCTGGCCTCAGCACACCACGCCGTTTCTCTTTCTCCGCTCTGACTTTTCCTTGATTAGGGGGAACGAACTGCCTCTGCCGTCCCGCTCTCCACCTCCAGACGAGGTGAGACTTCTTATCATATCCTGGTCTCGTAACCTTTTTAATATACTTGAAGGAAGCTGCAGTGCTGCTGATGTGGCTATCTGTTCCCAAAAAATGCAGCAGACTGTAATCTCAGTGGAATGATCGTTGATCAAAAAGACAAATAGAGTTGTGATATTTTACCGGGGGACATATTCAGGTGAGAAAAGAAGTGAATTGAAGCACGCAGGCTTTAGAGCAGGCAGCGGATGACATTGAAGGTCAGCCGCTAAGGAACAGATGGAGCCAACATCCATATCATTGATTGCCAACCTACCCTTTGAAGTTGCACAGAGTTGCCTTGCACACTGGTCTTGACCCCTTCTGTATGCCTCGCTGCCCATTGGGTATCTGAACGACCTCAAAGAAAACAATGCTACGTCCATTGGGCTTGTCCTCGCCTCCCCACGAACGCACCGCACCGCCTCCCGCAGTGCACATTTCACCTCAAAGCGACTTTTCTGAGCCACCAGCTTCTTTGCTGTCATTGCCACCCCGTACCCCTCTCTCTCTCACTCTCTCTCTGAGTGCAGTACGCAAGAAGTCGGTCTCTGGAGATGTTTGTGGAGCGCAGTAGGCCAGAGGGGGGGGGGGCACGGCGCTGTAAAGTGCCTCAATGCCGCTTCGTTTCCCCGTTTTAATTGGGCTATCTAAATGCACCCCCAGTTTGTCAATACCCGCCAGGTTCCCAGATAAAAATGATTTGTCTCATGCATTCGGGGGCATGCTCTGCTGTTCCCCTCGGAGAGCGGGCCCCGCCAGTTGTCGGAAGCACGGTGTAACGGGAGAAGGCCCCTTGTTTTTGATTTTCCGAGAGTAGCAGGAAAATATGTGCCTTCCTCTCTCAGTTCTAGCCCTCTCGTCTTAGTCTCATTTCTTTTCTCCGTACTCTAGTCGATACAGGCATGCAGCCACATGCTCCCACCTCTATGGACACATATACAGGGACACATGCACAATTTCACATGCTCCACATATACACACATAGATACATCTGCATTGGCACACACACACACACAAACACACGGGGGCTCACTGAAGGTCAGCTCCGAGAAGCCAATCTTATCGTTGTTTTTATGTGCTCTGTTTCCCCGGCTGTCCTTCTCCTTTCACACCTCCTGTCGCCATGTGCCACCGTCACCCTTCCCTCTCAGCGCTGGAGCCAGTGTTATCTGCAGACAGTCATGAGAAAAGAAACTCAGGGCCACAAAGTGTGCCCTTGGTGTTTGGACTGTGGTGCAGAAGTATGATGCTCACACCATGTTTGGCTTTTTTCAATCCTTTTTTGTGTCGCTTAGGGATAGATGACTTTGTATCGTAAAGATTAACCACTTTGTGCTTAGCTATCTGCTCTGTGCAAATGCTGCTCTTTTATTCTCTTAACTGATGGGAGATAAAACATAATGTGGTGGCTCGCGTGAAGAAAATGACATGTAGTCTGATTAGATGAATAGCTTTCACGTGCTTTCCGTGTAGCTTAAATTCTTACATTGATAATTTGGTGGGTTAAGTGCCCTTAACCCATCTTTGTAAATTATAATATGATCCATGTATGGAATACAGATACACAATCTGGAGGTAAATTAGCAAAGAAACAGACGACGGCAGTAGCCAAGCATGGGTAAATTGTGAATTGGGCTGGGAATTGTAAGCTGACAGGTGTTGCCCAGCTGTGCTTCTGGACATGACAAAGCAGTATTCTTCTTAAGAGCCCATCAGCAGCAGCACACTGACTTTCACAGCTCAGTGTTTACAACACAGGTCAGCATTTCTCAGTGACCCTGCTGAACGGAGACAGAAAGCACATTTAAAAGGATGTTTTTTTGAGAAGTTATTACTTTCGATGATGGATAATAATATGTTGAGATGGGGTTTTGCGGTGTCTCAAAATGCAGTCAATACAGCATAATCGTGCAGAGATTCTTATCATCTATTCAGTCGATGACCACACCGAGAAACTCATTTTCTTACCTTGAAGCCGAACCTTGTTAAAATGTTTTGGCAGACTTGTTAGATGGTGCCGACAGCTCTATATTGATAGAGCCCAGGGCCAATGTGATTCATCCCGTGCTGCAGCAGCCGGCACTACGACAGAGGAGCTGAGGTGTCTGGCTTGATCCAGGTGCTCTTCACCTGCAGATAACCCTGGAGCTGCACAACACAGTTTGTACATGTATACAATAACTCACAGAATAAAGCCCGAACAGACAAAATATTGATCTTACAAAAGCAATTTTTCACAAGAATCCATTAAAGGCTACTGTCGGCAGACTGGCTTAAGTCAGGGAGAGGCCTTTCAGATTGAAGAGGTTGTCAGTCTTTTTCTTCAGTCTAATGAAATTAGTGGGGGATGGGTGGTTGTCTCACAATAATATAAATTCTCTGACTTAGTAGGGAGGGGGGGGGGGGTTTTCCAATTTTATTAAACCTCTTGGGGGGGGGACAAAAGATAAGTCCTAAAACTGCCTGAGCTACAAAAACTCACTGGAGACAACCGTTTTAATCTGTCATAGAGGGCTGCTGCTGCAGTCCATCTGTGTTTTTGACTTTTATTCTGCGCTGAAACGAAATGAGCCCACACTGGAGATGAAATAGCTCATGTTGTGCGACTGACACACTGCACGACATTAGCTCACAACTCATTTTCTCTCCCACTCTGCTGTTAAGACCACCGACCAATAATCTTTACATCTACCTTCTACCGCTGTGTGATTTGTTCAGCGATTAGATCTCGGGTGAATGTGACATTTGAGTTTGCGCCAACTATTTTACACCCACAAAAATACTTTTTCTTTTCCTCCTCAGGGGGGGATGTGTGGGTGTAATAATTATTCTCCAGAAGGTTCTCTTATACTCTCATGAGTTTGCAAGGAGTAAGAGGCCTCCAACAAATCCAGATTGGTTGTTCGCGGATAGTCGTGATTTAAATTTGGTAGAAGCTTTTGTAAATGGTGCATGCTTGAGATCCCTTTTTTTTTTTTATTCATAAGATGGAATATATATTTATAGTGTATGTTAGGCCGAACAAATTGAAATACTTTTAAATCACATGGCCCGCATCCCGTTTGTCTTCAACGAGAAGAAAGTTAAAGATAAAACAATTCTTTCTCTTGCTGAAAAGTCAGCTGTATGCACAGATCTGCAGCCTCAAGTAAAATGAGACTGTCTCCCATTGTTAACAACAAAGAGAAATGTAGAACACGTTGCAATCCGCCATTTCCTTCAGCAGAGTTTAAGCACAGCAGACATTCAACATTGCTGCTTCTTGTGGAAACCCTCATAAGTACCTTTTGGAAGTGCACTTTGAGTATCTGTTGTCATATTTCTTTTAGGGACTGTAGTGTATCAGCAGCAGTACTGCCCTCTTTATATATAGGAGTAGGAGTCACACTAGCTGACAGTATGGCACTTCTTCAAGCTCATTTTCCCTCTTAGAGAGTATTGACATATTATGATATAGTTGTGTATGATTTAATTATTAATGCAAGGTGATATTATAAATGACTTCATTTGTCTCGGACTCACAGCTTGCAGCATCAGCAATGCCTCCCATATACATAGGTTTATATATATATATATATATATAAACCTATCATTACGTCAAAGCATCGCTAGATGACTCGCGTTACAGTCCACACGGTATTATTGGGATAAATGAGCAAACCGCTCCCCAAGGTCCCGCAGCCCTGTGATCTATTAAGGCGCCGTCGTCTCGGATGGTGAATCTCGGGAGAGCGAGGGAATTTTTTTGGGGGGGAAGAGAATGGTTGTGCTGACATTCTCTCTTACTGCAATCCCTTGTCCTTGTAGGACGGAAGAGAAAAACAGCACCAGAGGCTGACTTGGCTGTTCCTCTGAGCTGTCATAAATCCAACTGAACATTTCTGAACATCTGTTGTGGATGATTAGCTCCACGGCTAGCAGAGTTTGACCGGAGGGAGTGAGAACCAGTGTGTGTGTGTGTGTGTGTGTGTGTGTGTGTGTGTGTGTGTGTACTCAAAGCCTTGCTGATTTAGGAATGGGGATTTTACATATTTATTGCATTCAAATAGAGAGAGAGAGAGGGGGGGGCAAATTATCACAAATCATGTTACTGGTCATGTTGCATTGGCACAGTCCCGTGGGAATGCTTGTATGTTTTAAGGTCACACTTTGTTAACCCCTTAGTTTCAGGGGAGTTTTTGTTAAAAAGTAGAATTCGGGGATGTTGGCTATCCTAGAAAGCCTGGCCTTTGTAGTCAAGTGTAGGATAAGCCTGCATGTTATTTCTCATTCTCTCCCTGGAAGCTCGTCAATAGATAAGTGGCAATGGAGTCTCATAACATCACGTGTGCTAGTACATCAAACTGTGTTTTTTTTCCTACATGCAGGTGCACTACAAAATAGTTTCCCATTGGACAAAGTTCAAAAAGGTAAGGCCCCCGCAGCCGCCTCCCTCTTCACACTGAAATCTGACACCAATGACATCACGCGGTGGGTTTGGCTTCTCCCTGCCGTCCCTGCACACCAGCTCTCTCAGTGTGTGAACAAGCTCTGCCTCAGAAGGATCTCTCTCGCCCTCCTCTCGCCACATTGCTCTATAGCCACAGCTGGAAACGTATTGCTGGAGAGCCAAAAGACAAAGTTCCTCTGCTTTAATGAAACGCTGTGAATGGAATAACTGAGCAAGGAACAAGGGACTACTTTTCGCTCTCACACTTTTTCATAAAACGGGGATAATCTATCGTGGATACCGCTGGATTTGGTTATTCCTCGGATTTGGGTTCTCTCTCTCTCTGTCTCTCTCTATCTCTCTCTCTCTCTCTCTCTCTGCCTCTCTCTCTCTCTGGAATAAGGAGTAAAATCATTTATTCGTACGTGGACCTAACTGAGATGCATTGGTAAGTGTGAATTGTTTTAACTTGTCAGTGAGGAAAACAAAAGTTATTACTTGTTGAAAACAGAAGAGGCACAGGTGCATTTCTTGAAACTCTCTGGTCCGTCCTCGACTCTGAACTTTGTTGGTCTGTTGCTCCAGTGTGTGCTTTTTTTTTTTTTCATCTCAGGAGACAATAAAGTAACAAAATCAGTTGATGCGTTACACTTCAATGATAAGGTATTTCCTCGCTATTCTTTTGTCCCCTTTTCCTTTGTCCGTGGTCACTCTTGCTTGTTAAGCCAAAACAATAGTTTAACCTCGTCTTGGCTTAGCTCTATTGGCTGGCTCTCTGGCAAATTGCCCTGTCTGGTGCGAGCCCTCCCCTACGTATTCAGTCGACGTTGAATAGAGGGGCCATAGAATGTCCCCTAGCTACCGCTGCTAAGGTGAGGCACCCTGACGTTCTCCCGCATTAGGCCAAACAACCTGTTTTTCCAGTTGTTTTTATCTCCCTCGGCAATCTGGAGGGTAAAGTTTCAGCGACAAGAATTCCACTTCGAAGAAGACACTGAAACGCTTTGAAATCCAAGATAATTGTAGAGGGGAGAACCGTTGGAAGTTACAAATTGCGATATTTGGTCAAATATTTGGCCTCGCTTTCGACAAAGTTTAACAAAGAGTGATTTAAAGGTTTAAGGTTTGAGATGATTAGCTCTACTTCTTTTATACAAATTCTTTGTTGAAAGATATTTCTGGACACAGAAAACGTTTTCTACCTTAATTTCAACAAAGCAAACCAGCTCTAAATGGCCCCCTCATCTGCGGTTATGTCTCAGATATTTAGTTTCCTACATAAAACATAAAACTTTTATACGTTTGTATTAGAAACTCTTGGACTGAGTTCATCTTTTTCTTGGTCACAATAAAGGCAATAAAGGCAGTTGTTGCACAATAAATGTGTTGCTCAATAAGGAGCCTAGTGTCAGTGGGAAAAATATCCTTTTTTTGCAACTTGGTCTTTTCCATCAACGCTGTCTTGAGCTTTTAAAGAACATAGTGTCGACAACGTGTCTGTCTCGTTTAGTTTGGTCTTTAAAAGGACTACACTTCCCCGGGGGTTTGTATCACTGCATTGGGAACTTGTGTTTTCTTTCTTAGCTGTACCAAAGAATCATTTATCGTTTATATTTTTCCTTTTTAGTTAATGACTCAGGACTGCAACTCTATAACTCAGCCCTGTTAGTCTTCGCCTCGGAGTGATAACTCGGACTTGATTAAAGAATTACCTTGAGGCGAAACTCAAGATGGACACTTCAGTTGAAATGTCTCTCCAGCTGCTCGGTAACATAAACAGACAAGACAAAAAAGTGTCAGCCATGGTGATTTGTTCAAACAAAGCCAATCCCTGTCCACACCGGGTGACCCGCAGGTCGTCCTCCTTCACCTCCCCCATGCAGGCCGCTGACCCTTCATTCCACTTTTTACGACTTTGCTTCAGTCACTTTGTCACCAGTAATGTTCCGGAGAGACATTATGGGATGTCTAGCAAGTGACCTTAGGAAACAACTGATGCCATTTGTGTACCTCTGCTCCTGATCGCCTGACTAAACACGAAATATCTACCTCAGCTGAAGCCGGAGTCTTTCCCTGTGAATAAATTACTGGAACAGTCGATCCTTCAACCTCTCTCCCCGTCGCATTCCTCAAAAGTAATTATGGGCTGAGCATATGGATTTTTCCATAGAACTTGATTTCTAATCATCGTTGAATTGGGAAATGTGTAATGGCCTGTTGACGCATGATGGATCTGCTTAATCACCCAAGTCCCAGTTGGGGCATGAAAGAGGTTGCTTACAATCACAGATCAATGTCGGTGGAGCCAGACGTCTGTCTATGACGCATACTATAGATGGACAGAAAACCTACAAGCTTCTGTTGGCTTATTGGCTTAATAGTTCTTATTTTTGATGTTGTACCTGAAGTGTAGACTCATTCATGATAAGGTCTCAGACTCTAAAACGTCAGCAGAGGGGATTTTTCTCATTTGTTTTCATCAGGAATTGTTGCCTGATGTTGACGAGGTGGTGAGTAGTTGTTCTGAGACGACGAGGCCTAATTGCCAATCTTCTGTTGTGTGCTAAATAACACGCATATGCAGCGATGGGCAAACGGGCCTGCATAATGGGCAATGTCAATCAGAGGCCACCGCCTGCGTGATGTGTTAGCCTTTGTGATAGGCACTTTTCTTTTTTTTGTTGTCTCAGTTGTGACACTTCTTTCTTGCAGACAGTCGCTCATTCATTGTGACAGGTGCTGAGGAGAAGGTTGATAAGGCTTCTTCACCACTAAAATCACCTGTGTTTTGACAAGAACGCTTTTCCTAAGTTGCCTCAAGCTGAGAACTCGTTTGATTGAAGTTAGCTCCATGTCTGATGCTTTGACATCGACACAAGCTCGCTAAACACATGTAAAGGTTTTGACATAAAATCAAACCCCGAACAGGCAGACAGGTCTATTTTAGAGAAGGTGATGTTCTTTTCGTTGCCAATTAGTGACAAATAGAAATCGTCCCGTAAAAACCCAGTGCATCTGTGGCAGCGTAGCTTTAGCTCATTGTCTCTTTAAAGTAGATTAAAGTGGATCATAATGCTCAGCTGAGACGATTCGGCTCTTTTCTTACTGTGCTCCTCTTTACGCAATGCTTTCTATTCGACATTGTAAACGTGTCCGTCTACGTATTAAATGCCCAGTTATAGCGAGCCATCAGAGGTCTGTTTTGTGCTCATAGCCTTAAACCTTTCATTTCAGACTCAGCTCTATACATTACAGCCGTGGGTTTCTCAGTGGGAACACAAATTCGCTTCGTCGTAGAGGATATTTCCCTCCTTGCACAGAACTCATTTCAGTTCCACATCATCGCATTATGAATCCACATTGATTGAAACAGCCTCCACTTCCAGGGTCAGCTGCAGTTCCTGCAATTTGTATGTATGACAAGCCCAAAGCTTATGCTTCTGTATGTTAAGTTGTAATGCAGCTGGGAGACACACAGTGGCCATGATACCATGAGGTTATATCATGGAATTACTTCATGATATGTTGCAAATATCTTATTAGTTGTTGTTTATTTTACAAAGAGACAAGATCGGATTGTTTGCTTTTGGACTTCCGTTAAAGGGAATTAAAGGTCGCAGCTTTCCCTTGCGCCTGAGCATGAGGGGATAACCGATGCTAAACTGCAGTAAAGCTAATAAAATTGAATGTAGGTTTGATTTATTCGGTGCTTGGTTCTGGGACTATAGTCATGTGGCTGATTTATCCCTCTGCCTCCACCACTGCTCTTGTTTGCTCAGCCTCCCAATTTCTACAAATGCCTGGCTTAGACTCAACATTCCCCTTGATTACTTTATCAGCCCTCCTGTCACTTCCCCCCCGAAGTTATAACTTCTCTTTCACCAATCCTCTGCTGCTGATCTCCAACAAGCCGCAAGTAGGACTGGCCTCTCGCTATCAATAAGTTATCATATAATGGAGTAATACGTCTTTTTTCAGTATCGGCTACTCGTCCTACTAGCAACTGAGTTTTACAGTGGGACGTATTCAGCATCAGTTTGAGCTGCTGTTCATCTCGTGGCTCATCCTCAAACAAAAGGCAAATGACTCTTCTTCCCTGGCTTGTTTTGGGAAGATGGATGGAGATTCATTTGGTTTCATTATAACCCCCTGACTTATTTATAGCCTGCTGGCCCCACTGTGGCCCCGTAAGGATGATGGGGGGGGGGGGGGGGGGGGGGGGG